CATAGAAATATTCATTTCACTGGATCGTTATCCCAGTACCAGAGTTTCAGATAGAGGAAACAAACAAACAAGCTGTAAGCACAAATATTCACTGCAGATTATAACACTGGAAAGTTTAGAAACAGCCAAAATGTTTAACAAAAAGTAAATGACTAAATTGATAAGTCATCTGAATGTCTAAGCAATTGTTTAAATTACATTCATGATGGTGATAGTGCAAGAATGGAGAAAATGATATCAGCTACCATTTATTGATCATCCCTTCTATTTAAAGAGTAGTGCTAAATGCTTTACATATATTACCCTAATCCTCACAACAATTCAAAGCCAAGTATTATCCTAATTTCACAGACAAGGAAGTAGGCTCAGAGGTTAATTTGCCCAAGGTTTTTGAGACCAGATTCCAAGCCAGATCTATCTGATTCCAAAGTGTCATACCATACAACTTTATTTTAAAAAATATGGACGAAAACCTGGAAGGAAATAAAAATATCTATTAGAGTGGTTATTAAGGGTGAATGTTATTATTTTCTAAAAATCAGCAACTTTTTAAAGCAGAATTGCTGAATAATGGACTAATAATGGACTCATGAAGCAATAATCCCCATTTTCATTTTATTTTTCTACATTTCCATTAAAGATACAGAGTAGGTAACAAAAACTTAAGGATGCACTCAACTAACTACATCTAAACAATCACATATGAACCCCAGGGTACTTATTACTAGGATTCAAAATCTGGTCATTATGATTGGATTAAGCAGCATTCTTGCAGAAAAAGGTGAATTTTGAGGAAGACTTAAAGAGGAGGCACATGGACTGGAGACAGGAGTGTTTAAACTGAGGAAACAAGGGCAGAGGGAAAAACAAGAATGTTTCCTTTTTAAACAAGAATAACAACTAGGGTGAGATGAAGTTGGTGGAAAACCTTCAAGGCCAAACAGACAAGTTTGGAATTAATTTGATAAGCAACAGAGAACTATAATATATTCTTAAATGGGAAGGTGGCAATGCTGAAATACGGTCTTTAAAGATGCAAACTTTGTCCCAAGGTACTGCCTTTGGTGACAAGTTTTCACCAAACAATTGGGGGGAATATAACCCATTATCCTTTATGTGTGCTTTGCACACACTTATAAAAAAAGAAACTGACAAAAATCTTTATATAAAGCATGAGCATATTGGGGAGGGGGGACTTTCAGATATAATTCTTATGAATATTAAATGCCACTGTACATTTTAATAAGAATCAGAACTTTAGAGCAAGAAGAGACAGAGATCATCTTTTAGTAACAACTTCCTTTTCAAAATGAATTAAAGTGAGGCTCAAGAATGAAATACTTTGCTTAATATATATAAGCTAATGGAAAGTTCAATATTAAAACTCAGATTTTTCTAGGCAGCAAGATCTAAAGCTGTGCTGTCCAATACTGTAGCTACTAGAAACATCTGGTTATTTAAACTGCTTAAAATTAAAATTTTAAATTCAGCTTCTTGGGCATGATAGTCATATTTTCGAATGCTCTATGCCATACATGGTTAATGGCTACCATATCTGACAATGCAGAAAAAGAGTACAGCGGATCCTTAAATAACATCACTTGGTTCAATCTTGTTTTGTTGATGAGATGCTATAGAAACTTAACTTCTGTTTATATCAATTTGGCTTTGGTAAAAATGGTTTCATTATACATCATTTTCCTTAAAGCTGCAGAAGTTATCGATGACTTTAAAGTGAGGACTTGCTGTATTTCCAGCATTGCAGAAAGTTTAACTGGACAGAGTCTGACATCTGACAGACTTAGACTGGATTCTACGAGCTAGAAGTATGATCCTAAACAAATTAACTTCTCCTTCCCCTATTACGAGGAGGCAGGGGAAAAGGAGGAGATTAACAATACCTACTTCATGAAGTGTACTTGATGATTATATGGGATAACATGTAAAACCCCTGTACACTGTCTGGCACATAACAGACAATAAACACTTCCTTCTGGATCCCTTTTTCTTTCTACTCCTCTAACCACCTTATTAAAAGATACAAATACAATAACTCACCCAAATTAATATCTTCCCCTCGACATAATCCACAGAACTTAATTTTCATTATTCCTGCCAATTTCTTCAAATATCTGCACCTCTCTTCCAGTGTTTCTACTTAAGAATTATGAAATGAAGAATGGATGTGTGGGGGTAAATGCCTCTGATGTTTTCCATCCTATTTTAAATGTGACTATACTGATTAATCATGCAAAGGAAAAGAAATCAATTACACTGTTCCTAATACTATACTTAGTATTAGGAACAGTGTAATTGACACCAATAAAGATTCCATAGTACTTCTACATTATATTACTTCTTACCATCTGTACTAGTAATTGAATATTAAGTGAAGAAATAACACCTTTCTCCTACAGTATTGTCCTGGGAAACAATAAAAACAATAAAAAGGAATTCCAGAATGCTAAACCAACCATCACGCAGCTTAATCTAGTGAACTGACAATTTAACAAATTTGTACTATAGCATATAAAAAACTTCATAACATGCATGTTACTATCCAGAGAAACAACATTCAATTCAGTTTGTAACTAGTGAATTTCTGCCAATACTAAATTTTATTAAGGAGCAACAATTCATATTTAGCCATATAGTCACATAAACTTGCCATTTCTAGAGAGGTTATCTATTTTACATTCCTAACACCTAACATAAAGAATTAAAGCAGAACTTTTAAAAATTTGTCTTTAAACATCAACCAAACAATATTTTTACATATTTTTTAAAGTTTTCTTGTTGTTTAAAGTGACCATATTAACTCTCAGAGGGGAAAAAACAAAAATCCTGTCAATAACAGTGTCTCCTTGAAATTGTCTGGTAATCTCTTACTTTGTTGCTTAAAGATAATTTACTAAAAAAACATGACCACTGATCCCCCTTACAGAGTTTAGAATAAGTCATAAATAAATACTAAATGGATAACACTACACATTGTACTCTTTTACAACTCAAATTATGTGTAATAGATAAAACTAAAATATTTTGAGCATACAAATCACGGAGTTTAATAATCACCTACGGGAGTCACATAAGTTAAAAAATTTTTTTAGTTTTTTATTACTATACCACATCAAGTACTTTATACATTTAAAAAAAGGCTTCTATACCTGAATTTATGAAATCTAATATAATTGGTGAGATATAGTTTTTTAAAGTCCTTCAATTATAATGAAGTGTACATTGGTCACAGTAGAATAGTTCAAATGAATTTTCCTGAGGGCACATTCTGAGTACATCTGACCCAGAAAGTATTTTTAGCAAGTGTGTTCAATCAATGCTGGTTTTACGCCTAGCCTAAATTAGAAATTGGGTGTCACAAATTTAAAGTAACAAAGTTATTAGGGACATTTTTAAAGATATTCAATTAGAACATAAGAAAAAAACCCTAAGCTCGATACAATTCAATAAATATAACCCAGAAGCGAAGCAGGTTAGAAAACAGGCACTAAGAAAGTCACATCCTCATTCATTACTGCTTTTGAGGAACCTATGATTTTCTAACTTAATAAACGTTAACCTACTCGATTAACATTAATTAAAAACTAACAATTTCTCCCGTTTTCAAAATCTCTTGTCGAATGTTTAAAACAGATGATCTAAATCATAAATGTTCCCATGTAAAAAAAAGACCATGTTTCTCTTCTTATAAACCACTCCAGATCATATTATGAGACCATGCACATGTTTCTATACAAAACGGTAACAAAGATGTGTGTCATGGGGAAAAAAAAAAAAAAATGAAGAGTGTGTTAATTGGAGCATAAATTTATTCTGACAAAAAATGGTGGGATCCACAAAATGATTGCACTCTTGTATTACGAGTCAGTAAAGAAATTCTGTACTGCACAATACATAAACTTTTGCTCACAAAAAGTCTTTTAAAAAAATCTGTAGGTTGAATTTATAGTCATCAAATTCAAGATTTAACTGACATATCTAGCCCTATTTCATCAAGCACATTTTGGGCTCTTAATAATCATTTATTTTAAGGTCATCTCCTCCCTTAAAAAAAATGAAAAATAATTTTTTTCCTCTGGCATGCTAAAGTTCAAAAATCAGGATAAAAAAATGTTCTGGCTTTCACTGTTCTACAACCTTCCTTTCTACTCAAATCGTCTTTCTAAATCGGATACACTGGTTTTCTGTATTGTTTCAATTGGGCCCAAGATCTGGTCACATAAACCAATATTACCTCCAATTTCTTGATTCGACAAGGAGTTGGTATACTGCATGTACACAGGTTCTCCTAGAACAAGCGCTTGAAAATCCTACAAATCATCCTGGTACACTGTGGTGTCACCATATAATGCAACCTCAGACATAAAGTCTCCCATTCTAAGTTTCTCAGAAACATGTAAACATATGTCTGTGCAGCTGTAAACTGCTCCATTTTAAATAAACCCTGAGAAATGAATGCATCAGTACGTCTATTTAGATACATCTCAACTTTTTTTTTTTTTTTTTTTTTTGGCCCAACTACAGATTCTTAAATACAAATATATACCGGTAGAATCATAAGAGGCTTAAAACTTCAGTGGTAGGAAACAGTCTGCCCATGCAATATGCAGGAAGCGCTCATATAAGCCAATTTAAAAAAGAAAAAAGAAAACAGGAATCCTAGCAGCAATGGAAAACTCAAAAGATTCTAAAACCTTACCTGGGGTTTTGGTACCTTGGAACATTCCATCTCCGCACCTATTCCAGCCCTTCCGCTCACCCTAAACAGAGATTCCAACTATAACCCCCAGGAGCTCCGAGAGCAAAGGTCCTGGGAAGAAAGGGGGGTGGGGGGACGGTGAGGAGCATCATTTTTTTCCTTCCTTTTAAATCAACCTCGTACCTCCGGCTTGCCCTACCTAGCTCGCCTCCCACGAGCCACGCACGCCCCAGGTAACAACGTGCAGGGCCGAGAGGCCAGCGGGGATCCTAGAACCTCTTACCTTCGTATCACAGCCGCGTCCTCTCGGCTTGAGAAGAAAAGCCTCGAGGCCCGGGCGCGCCGGGGAGAAGCGCGTTCGCCGCGCCGCTCCCGGGGGTTCCCTCAGCGGCCCCCCAGCAGCCACCGCTGCAACGGCCACGCCACGGCCGGGAGCCGCCAGCACCACCTCATACTGCGGGGCTGCCGTGGACCAGCGCCGCCGGGAGACCGGAGGGAGACAGGCAGCGGGCGCGCGCTCCCACCTCCCTGCGGGGATGAGATAATCCACACCCCCTAAAAGTGCCGTGGGGGAGGGGAGCCCCGGTGAGGGGGTCTGGCCCCCAAACTCTGACTGTACAGCCAAGGCCAAATCTATCCCTTCCCAGACTCAGGCCCTGAATTCAGCCCCTAGGGACCCAGGAATCCTGAGAGGACAAAGTGGGGGGGCCGCGAGGAGCGGAAAAGCGCGCAGCGCGCCGTGAGCGGGCGGGTAATCCTGGGCAGCGTTTGTGTGTTAGAGTGCAAGAGGCGCTCAAGCCCCCGCCTCCTTCTCCTCCTCCTCGGTCTCGTTCTCCTCCCTCAAGCACACCCCGTCACCCAGGCCACAGCATAGCAACCAAACATGGCGGCTGCGCAGACGCCACCAGTCAGCGGCCGAAAGCAGCGGCGGCAGCAACAGGAAGCGATCTCGCGAGAGGTGAGGCCCTTCCCCGCTAGCACAAGCTGGAGAGGTTGCACCAGACAGAGCGCCGTGGGACACGCAGGTGCGAGGGAGGGCGGACCTGGATAGGTCGAGGAGGAAGGGCTGGGAAGAGGAGGCGGAGCGCTGTGACTCCACCCCATGTGCCTGCTGCGATTGGTTACTTGAACACCGACCCCCGCTGGCTCTACTGACCCAAGGGACCGTACCGAGGGGCAAGAAACCTAAATTTTAAAGGGGAAAACCAGACCTATTTCCCAGTTCGTCCCAACTTCAATTCTAATAGAGGATCTAGGTTTTAGGATGCGGCTTTGAATCATTTCCTGTCCTAAATATAGACTCTAAAACAAAGATCTAATGTTCATTTGTAAAACAAATGTTTAGGTGCCTTCTGTGTGCCAGAAAATGTGTGGTTTTAAAAATCGAATTCATTCTAATAATGCATATAAATTTGGTGTTATCATGCCAGAGTTTTTACCCAGGTACATTCTAACATTTTATTGATGATACACATATCTTGGTGTTAAGACAGATGTTTACGGCCTGGGTAAAATCATCCGAAGTGACGAGTGGAAGGATTTGGGAATCGTCACACTTCCTTTTGCCTTTTTTTTTTTTTTCTTCTGGTCAGTGCACTTTCCTGTCGTCTGGCGCCTACTTGCTCTTTCTTGCTCTTAGCTTCAGCACTTCACCAGAGCTCGCCTTTATAGAAGCATTCTTTCAACAATGTCTTTACCCCCTAAGCCAACAAAATGCCTATTTGCTAGTCAGGGGTGGTTTTTGCAAGATGAAATCTTGCAAATTTATACAAATCCGTGAAAGACAGTAATTTATATTGACCCTCTTCTCTTTCTCATCCCCAAAATGTTTTTTCATTTTAAAAAGACAACTTGTCAGTCCATGTTTTTCCTGCTTTACCTCTTCTACTTAATTCCCTTCCTAGACCTTAGTTCCAGCCAATATTCATCCTTCCTTAAATACGCTTTCCTACCTCTAGCTCTCTGTTTTCTATGCCTTTGTTCATGCTGTTCTCTTCACCAAACTGCTCTTCACTTCATCTCCACCTATTAACCACACATTACATGGGACGGACTTCCACCAGAAGTAAGAAGTAATTTCTTCCTCCTGTGACACTGATAATTCTAGGTTTATACCTCCCTTTTTCTTATCACAATGTACATTTTATTATACAATACTTATTCCTGTGAGTCTTCTGGCCATTACTACATGGTAAGATACTTAAGGGCAAGGACCTTAGTCATCTTTGTATTCCCTATAGGGCCTGATGACACTGCCTAGTGTTAAAAAACTTCGTTGAAAGAACGAAATGCTTAAATCTTTATTTGGGGGGATTTCAGGAAGGTACTAGTGACACAGCAAGCTCTTCCTCAACTTCAAATCTGTTAGATTGCTGTGTCTCTGGGTGATACTGGTCTGGTCTAGATTTGTCCTTGTAGAGCCTTGAAGCTAGTGCCTCAACTAATCTTCCTATCCCCAGACCTTCTCCCTCCAACCTATTCCTCCCACCTCATCCATAAACCACAATGACCTTTTATGCAAATATAAATCTGAATTGTAATGTAAATACAGCTGGAGTCTCAACACTGGAGGGGCTGGAGGGGGACACCCTTTGTTTTGGGAAACTCCACAGAATGAGCCCTTTAAATAAGCAAATGTAAGCCTCATATCTATCTTGGAAGTCACTTTTTAAAAATTGACATATAATTCACATAACATAAACTTCACCCTTTTCAAGTGTACAATTCAGTACTTTTTAGTATATTTGCAAAGTTGTATAGCCGACACCACTAATTCCAGAACATTTTCATCACCCCAAAAAAGAAATTTGTACCCATTAGCAGTCACTCTCCATTCTCTCTTCTAGCCCCTGACAATCATTAATTTACTTTCTGTCTCTATGGATTTGTCTACTCTGGACATTTCATATAAATGGAATCATACATATTATAAATTCTCTACAAACATATGTAAATTTTGCTCTTATTTAAATTGCAGTTTTTTAAAAATTAACATATTCTTATTCTGGATCATTTTGATGATTTTGTTTTTGGCACCAAGAACTATAACTTTAATTTTTTTGGACTAATGAGGAAAGAATAGAATACTTCTTATAGAGATGACAGTATTCCGGTTAAGTGAAGGTCAAGCATCTTCATGGCACACTGTACAAAAGTTTCATGGAAATTCAAATAGAGAAGCATGTTGGGATAATTAAGTCAATTATAAGCCCGCCTTAAAAAGCCAGTTTAGTAGCAATGAGTTCCATATTCTTATTGCGAAAAACAACTTAATTTCAGCAAAATAACATCATCCACAACATTATATAATATTAATTGAATTTTTAATTTTGTTAATTTAATTTGCTAAATTGTTTTGGTTTTATAGATGTAGAAGAGCTGTGAGAATAAAGACTCTATGCCTAATCTTATGTTTATACTTAATTAAGAAACATAATTTAAATAAGTTAATTTAACATTTGAGAGTTAGCAAGATTTTTGTTTTTCATTTAAAAGTAGCCTCAAACACTACTAGATATTGGCAGACATTGCTATTGACTGTGATTTTTCCCCCTTGTCTGCAGCCTGCCTTTGGCTATGCTTTGGGAGAGTAAGAGCAAGGTTGTGTTGACACTTAAAGGGTGTTGGCAGGGAAGGACTGGCCTTTCTGCACTGTGTGGGTAACATTAGGACCTTTCCTAACCCTGAGTAGGTTCAGCCAAAAGAGAACAGGCATTTGTTTCTAGCTTGTGTAGCTACACCAGGCTTCCTGGGCCTTGGCAGTGATATCTGGCAACCACAAGGCAGCAGAGAAGGAGCTTTGACCAGGCACTGTGGCTGACTGACCAGTCACCCCCACCCCTATCAGCAGCTTGGGAGGACTCTTTTGGAAAAAATGGATAACCCTTGGGTTACTGGCGATATCTAGGGAGAACACCAAGGGAAAGCTGGACTCAGCTTGCTAAGTAGAGCTCAGAGTGGTATGAATTTTAACATTGAAAAACACCTGACTTGATTTTGTTGTCTAAACTGGTCAGGTGGAACCTGCAAGGTACACAGGCTTTCAAACACCTGATCTCTGACATGTGACCTAATTGGATATCTGTCTGCCTTAGCTGCACGATTAAGGGAAAAATTCATCTTTTTACCTGTCTGGAGTTTTCAGGCATAACTTAAAGCAAAGCAAAACAAACAAATTTAAAGCATTTATACCTTTAAAAAGTCATACATTTTTCCAACAAGTTTAAAATTCTGTGGCAGAATTCTGTGGCTTGGGCTTCCTTAAATCATAGAGCTTCTTTAAATATACTTAAATATATAATATTTAAATATACTTAAATATATAATCTGAGGCAATTGGCCCAGATTTGGTCACTCTGTCAACATGGCCCTCCCTCTTTTCACCCGCCAGCAATTCTTTCCTTCCCTGGAATCAAGAACTAAGTGAAAATTTAAAAATCAAAGACCTCCTGCCACTCCCAGTTCCATTCCCCAAAGGTAAACACTATTAACAACTTCTTGTGTATACTTCCAGAATTTTCTCTGCATATGTAAGCTCAGCGTATATCTTTTTTCCCTACCTAAAAGGGATTATACCAAATATACTATATTTCACTTACAAATGTCCTTAACAGAACAGATACATGCCATACTTTCTAAGAGCTATACCATAGCTTATTTAATTTTCACTAACAAATGGGCATTTAGGCAGTTTCCGTTTCTTTGCTATTACATACGATGCTGTAAAGAACATTTTTGTCATAAAACTTTATACACATAACTAAGAATTTCTTTAAGATAAATTCCTGGAAATGCAATTGCTGGATTGAAGTGAATGGACATGTTTAATTTTGATCAATGCTACCAAATTGACTACCAATTGCACCCACCAAGTATGTGTTAGTTACTATTATCCACCTCTTCCTTATCATTTCTGAGTTTTGTTATTTTCCTCAATAAAAAATATTTTTTTTCTTCTAGTACTTTTGTTTTTAAAAAATACTTAATCTAATACTAATCTAGAAATAATTCTGGTATAAGTACATAGGAATCGAGCTTTATTATTTTATTAATGACTATCCAGTTGTCCATTATTAAATAACTCATTACACGTGTGCGCGCGCACACACACACACACACACACACACACACACGCCAATTGTTTGCTAAATTGCTTTTATCAAGCTCTCAATTCTAAATTTTTATTTGGGAATTTTTTGGTTTATTTCATACAGTTATCTATTCTATCTCTGTATTTGTTTCCTTATTGCTGCTATAACAAATTACCACAACTTTAGTGGCTTAAAACAACACAATTTCATTATATTACAGTTCTAGACATAAGAAGTCCAAAATGGATTGACAGGGTGTGGTCCTTCTGGAGGTTCTAGGGGAGAATCTCTTTCTTTGTCTTTTCCAGCTTCTAAAGGCCACGTGCATTACTTGTCTCATGGTCCCTCCCTCCATCTTCAAACTCAGCAGCCCAGCATCTTCAAATCTCTCTGTCTTACCTCTTCTGTCTCCCATGACCCTTTTACCTCCTTCTTATAAGGACCTTTGTGATTACATTGGACCCTCCCACAGAATCTACAAGGATCTTCCCAAGATCTTTAATTTAATCACATCTGCGAAGTCCGTTTTGCCAGACCAGCTAACATTCACATAATCACCCTGTAATGAGGATGTGAACATTTTTGGAGGCCTTTATTCTGTGTCACATTCTCTAATACCAAGCTTTTAGCTAGTAGAATTTCTAATAAGTTTTACTATCTGAAATAATTGATTTCTCCTCATGCTTCTTTGTTCCAAGATGAATATGTTTTTAATTATATGAACGTAGAATGTGAGCCCACAACTGTGACTGAAATGTTAAATTACGTTGACAGCATATACAGTGTACCTACCTTGTGTAAGATCTACATATTACCTCAAAAAAATATTATCCGTAGATGTATGTGACTATAATCTGTATATATAAGCACATTATTAGGACACTGATTATCCATATTACAGATCACTTAAATGTATCTAAGAATTCTTAATTTAAA